GGGGGGGGGGGGGGGGGGGGGGGGGGGGGGGGGGGGGGGGGGGGGGGGGGGGGGGGGGGGGGGGGGGCGGGCAACAACAATAACAGCAGCCATCACCACTCACATCACCAAAGGCAGCTACAACAGCACCAACAGCACCACCAACAACAACGACAACGACAACAACAACGACAACGACAACAAAACAACCAACAGCAGCCGGACACATCAACATCAACGAAACCTGCTACGACACCTACACCAAACGACAACTACCTTCCCTTGAGAGCGGCACCACCATTTGTCAGGGCTCCGGCGTCGGGTTTGCTACCCAGCTCCCCGACGACGACGTAGGCGGTGTTCGCTGCGTCGGATGATCATCATGTGGTTGGACGCGGAGAGAGAGGGGGAAGGAGGGGAGGGGGGAGAGATATCTGGTGTGAGGTCTTCAAGTCTTCAACCCAACACCATTCTTCAATCGCAAAGGGGGGCTTCAAGACGTGTCAGTCGCACCTACTGGAATCGATGCGCAAACACTTCGAGATGCGAAAGAGTCACGGGGCCAGAGAGGCTGCTCGGGGGCGACGGGGCCAGAGGGCACCGAGGGAAGCGTGGTACAGGAGGCGCACAGCAGAGAGAGCAACCAGCAGCGGTCGCGGCCAACATGCAACATGACTGAGACATGCAGTGCGCAAAAACAACAACACCAACAACAAGCGCTACGCTACTGACTGAGTCAGACAAGCATCAGGATGGCCTTCGGTTGGGGCACTCGTCCTCTATCATTGACAAGCAAGAGGCTCGGATATACAGCAGCTGCACCATCGGCATCACCCCAACATTCGCCGAGCAATCGCTGCCAACAGAAACAGCTGGGGCGGGGGGGCGGCGGCCTCGTGGGCGTTTGGCGCCAATTCGCACGGGTGAGAGGAAAATGCGATACAAACAACGAAACCACCACCAACAACAAGGTTTCCACAGCAACAGCAGTAAGCGTAGCAACAGCAGCAACAGCAACAGCAGCACCAATCAATACAACGACAACAGCAGCAGCAGCAACAGCAGCAGCGGCAGCAGCAACAACAACAACAACAACAACAACAAAAGCAACAAAAGCAACAAGAGCAACAAGAGCAACAACTAGTCGAAACACCGCCACAACATCATAAACAACAACATCGGCACAGCAAGAGTTGCACCAACGACGGGTTCGACCGTAACACCAAGAACAACACCGGGAACAACAACAAACATCAACGACAACAACAGAGCAACAACGACGAAACGACAACGGCATATGCAACGACAGCATCCAAGTCATCCCAGCCCGAACGAACGCAACGCCGGCGGCAATCTTACAGTCCTCCCTCCGGCGCGTCATGGCGGCCCTGACCAGCTCCACGCGGTTGGTCGCTTCTTTCACGGCATGCGCCGCCTCCGCCTTCTCCTCCTCTGGTGCCGCAGCATGCCGTCTCAGCCCCCCGCTTGACTACCGCCGACTCCGCCTCGTTGTCTCCCTTCGTGAGGCCGGTCCAGCTTGCGTTGCCTGCGGGTTTGAATGCATGGCGCAGACGACGATCCAACAATGGAGAAACGAGAGCACTAGAACAACACAAAAAGCAAACAAAGAAAAAATACGCCAGCAACAACAACAATCCTCCACACCGGAACCTACATGACGTCGCTTCGAGTCCCGAGATCGAGTTTAAACAACAATATCAACCTTCAGCAATGAAGAGCAAAAACAACAGAAACAGTAGGGGCGACGCCAAACACCAAGACATCAGCAGCAGTGACAACAACATGCGAACGACAGCAACAATGCAACTCCATCGCAGCACAGCACCACCACCAGCAGCAGCCAAATCAACAACACCATCAACAACAATACTTGGAAGTGTGAGCAGCAGCAGCAGTAACAACGAGAAATACAAGACAACACCAAGGTTATCAACAACTATGGCAACGTGTGTACAAAACAAAGGAAGAACACGGCAGAAGCAAACTGACCAACAGGAGCGTTCGACCAGCCATACCTCCGGCCAAACCCTTTAGGGGCCGCACCATGCTTGCTGCTCCGTGCGCATACAGGGCTCCGTGACAGCTCTCGGTAAAATCCAGACTCCGACTATCGCGAGCGGCGAGGACAGCGCAGATAAGCTCCACGCCACACAAGCGCCCGAAGAAATGCGAAAAAGTGGCGTCTTACCCCGCCCCGACGACCCCTGCCGTCTTGCCCACTTTCAGCAGTGCCATCTGGGGGCTGGCAAACGAAATCTGCCCGCCGGTGGCGTACAGCAAGAAGCTCACTCCAGCGGGGTCGTCCGGTGCGTAGACGATGTGTGCACTGGCCGCGATGCCAACCTCGTCCCCCGTGCAAAGGGAGCAACCGCACCGAGAGAGGAAGAACCGACGGCAAACGTCAGTAACCTCGACGTGTCCAACAGGTCGACCTGTTGGACAACGATCAAGCCCGCCGGAGGTTGGACAAGACGCTCTCCTCAATGGCCAGGGGGTGACGGACGGCGAAGGACGGAAGCAGGCGGGATACCAAAAGCCAAGCATGCATATGGAGCCCGTGGGCAGGGCGGGGTGCGGGTGGTGGTGTCGATGAAAGGGGCGGGGGAGGTTGGAGCCCCTGATCTGCTGACGTTTGCCGTCGGTTCTTCGTTTCTCGGTACGACGAAGGAATTCATGTGCTAAGTGTGAGCGACCTCTGGCCATGCGCCCTGGCCTCTCGATCAGACGGTCGCTGTCGCCGACGTCCGGCATCCACCCGTCGACTACAACTCGTCCCGAGGCCAAGCTGCCTGCCACCCCGCTATACTTGACGCCGTCGCGGACGGCGACTTGTCTGTCGAACTCAGCGGCATTGGCCACCCTCGCGGCGTTTGCAGATTTCTTGCTCTCGTCCTCGCCCAGTGGGGAAAATATACGAGACACATTCGATGCCGCTGAAGAGCTCTTGAAGGCTCGACCTCAGGTTGCTGACGGCCTGCTTCGACGCAGTTGACCCGGAGGTGCGGGTGGGGGGGGCGATGTACTCCGGGCAGTCCCTGAAGCCCGCGGCAGCTGTTCCGGCATTTACGGAGTCGAAAAATGCCCGCCCGTCGTCAGAAAGGCGCGGCCCTGCCTCGCCCAATCGCGCCCGAAAGATCTGCGCGGCGGCCTTCGCGGCGAGCCCGGGGTGGTAACTCTTGCTCGTCTTGGTCGCCGTGCGGTGGGGCGAGGAGAAGAAGGGAGTGGTGGGCAGATTCAGCAGGTGTCCCGCGACCGGAAAACGCTCAAGCCAGGGTGCGAGATGAAACGGCCCTTTCGCGAGGTCCTCGCTTCCACACGACTGCACGATCCGCGTGACTTTCACGTCGTTCGCGTCGAGTGCGGCGAAGTAGAGCGCGCGAACAAATTCCGAAAGTCTGCTAACTTCGCCGTCGCGAGCGCACGGCGCCGCGTAGCCACCGTCTTCATCCTTGAGGCACATACAGCAGTTGACGTTCACGCCCAACGACTTGTCGTGCCCCCCCTCCACCACAGCCGAGGGTGATTATTCTGTTCTCGGTCTCCCCGCCAAGGCTCACGTTGTCCTCATGCGCGGGGCACGTGTACCCCATCAGGGCGCACGACTCGCCCCACTCTGGCGCATTGAAGAGGGGGTCGAGGAAGAACGGAGACATTTCCTTGGGCAGCTCCTCCACACCCATGAGTACCCGAGCAACCTTTCCGACCATCTCCTTGAGCGCGGGTTCCAGTTCTATCTTAGACCCAGACAGCTCGCCCAGTACCTCTTCCACTTCCCGTAAAACATCCGCGATAGTGCTGACGTCTTCCAGCCGGTTGTTCAATTCCGTGCAGAGCGTCGCGGTCCTCTTGTCGGGTGGTATCGATACATCTCCTTGTTGGCGTCGCTCGGGTGCTTGGGATCGACCACGCCCCCGGCACCGCTGGAACTGCTGCCGCCGCCGCCGCCGCCGCCGCCGATGCTGCTGCTGCTGCTGCTGCTGCTGCCACCGCTGCTCGTCCCCGTCGACGTGCCGCCGCCGCCGCAGTTCCGCGCTTCTGTTGCGAGAGCGACTTCGACGGAAGAGAGCGGGGTCCGGGGCGGAAGGGACGACTTGACATTGTGCATGGTTGTGCGATAATATTGTCTGTTAACCTCGGCGCCTGCTTCGAAATCAGATGCTTGACCGATGATTCACAGTCGTTGTGGCTAAACGGACAAGGGCACTGGTAAAATGAGGTCCTCTGATGTCTCGTTTACGCTCTTACGCACACGTGGTGCTGAGTTGACGGCCGTGGAGCACCTGGTCGTTAACATTCGCGACGACATCACCCACGGACATCTCGGAATACATGGAGTGAGCCAGGAACCCGCTGAAATGAGTAGAAAAACACAAGAGGGAAGAGCCACTGCAAAGCGCGAGACGCGCTGGGTGAATGCGCCCCTCGTCCTTGAAAAAACCAAAGAGCCTGTCATCTGTCATGCTCCGTCCCGACATCGGAGGCCTGTGGTCTATGCGAGGAGAAACATGCATGACACTGAGTATCCCCCCCCCCCCCCCCCCCC